GTCTGTGCTTCCCCAGGGACAATTTCTATTGGTTGCTTTTTTCCCCCTCATGTATGAACCAACTTTCTTGCATCTTTACACACCTTGTAATTTGCTGTTGTTGTTGTTAGAACCAGATTTTCAAAAGAATATAATGCAACAATTCTGGAAATCAGATTTCTACTCCCTCCCCAGGGTTTGTTGTTTTCGCTGCTATAGTAAAATACTCCAAACATAACATAGGCCTTGGGCCAAATTCTCTTCAAGACTAAAGCTGTTCTTTGGGAGAGTAGAGAGAGCTTCTTGCATGTAGGCATGGAGCTCGTTTCAGGAAAACCAACGTGGATTGAGTGTCCACAGAGCACTCTGATAACGATGCCTCTTTGAGGCTCCCCCAAATATCACAGGCAGAGGGAGGGTTATGTCCTTAGCCTTTTCCCTGTATCCCCAGAATGACTAGAGTGTGTCAAACTTGCAGATGTCACACTCAGTGATCCTGATTCAACCTTGCTCATGCAATCCCAGCCTATGACAACCTCCTCTGGAGATCTGGCTGGTTGTATGGTGAGCATATTTCCAGTCTCTTCTCCCAGGAAGGTCATGATCAGGCAAAATAAGAATAATATCAAAGCCTGTTGCCAGCTAAAGTGATCAGTGCCCAGATGTCACCTGGGCCAGTAATTAGCCAGGGGCCTGGGAGATGCCCAAAGGGTGGGCAGGGAGAAAACACAAGGGTCACAAAAGATCCAGCCAAAGGAAGTCAGTGGAGAGGTTGCCAGTCAAGAAGGGCCTTTCCCCCCCAAAAAAGGGGGGGCGCCTGGGTGGCTCAGTCTTTAAGTGTCTGCCTTCGGCTCAGGTCATGGTCTCAGGGTCCGGGGATCGAGCCCCACATCGGGCTCCTTGCTCGGTGGGAAGCCTGCTTCTCCCTCTCCCACTCCCCCTGCTTGTGTTCCTGCTCTTGCTATCTCTCTCTGTTGAATAAATAAATAAAATCTTAAAAAAAAAAAAAGAAGTTCCTTTCCCAGAGGCCCAGGTGGTGGGCACAGCACCCTGGAAAGCCCCTCCTCCTTTCCTGGTAGATGTAGGGTTAGCAGCAGGGCCAGATACAAATCTGAGTAGGAATCTGTCATAGGTACCCCTGCCCAGCGCCAGACTAAACAATCCTTCTGAGGGAAAGAAGAGGGAGGATGCTAAGGCCCTGGGGATGCTCAAAGCCTGCCAGACTGGCATGAAGTCCCCATTTGTTGTGACAGATGTAACAAGCATCTGTTAAATGCCTACTAGAGTGTGATCTGACAAGACAGACAAGACTTTGAAAATAGCCAGGTTGGGGTTCCAAGCTAGGCTCTGCCACTTACCACCTGCTGTGACCCTGGCCAAGTTTTAAGTGTCACTAAACCTTAGTTTCTACATCTATAAAAGAGCAGATTATCACCCACTCATGGGGCTATTGTAGGATGGAATGACATTGCATTTTTAGAGAGTGCCTCACTCACACCAGGCAATTAATCAATGAAAGTTGTTCATATTGTTGGCAGAGTTGAATAAGGAAGAGGACTAGACCACGCCACATGGCTTGAAATCCTTCTATGGCTTCCTCTGCCTTGATTTTCCTGTAGGCCTGCACGGCCCTGCATCCTTGGTCAGGTCCTCTGTTATAAGCTCTCCCAGAGCCTGTATCTTCCTACCTCTGTTTTGGTCTTATGGTTAGATACTTATCTGTGTGACTGACTAATACCTGTCTCCCTCACAGACTCTTTGGCTCACCATTTTGTGCTCAGTGTCTAGCAATACACAGGGAAAGGAATGAGTGACTGAAGATGAGGCTCTGGCCTCCACAGCCCTCACTGGGTGCACACACTCAAAGGGACCAGACAGCAGAGTGGCTAGGAGCAGGCATCCAGGATCTCAGAGCAGTGCTGGGACCTGGGGGCTGGAGCGGCTGGAGCCCAGCATGGGGCTCTCACCCAGTTCTCCTCCAGGAGTTGTTTGGACAACTCCCTTGACCCAGCCTCCTCCACCTCCCCCATCTGTAACATCTCCTGCCCCACTGCCCCCCAGTCCCAGAGCTGCATTAGTGTAGACTCCAGACAGGATCATGGGGGTCAACCTGTGGGCCTTCCTGTGGTCTCAGACCAGGGACGGCCATGGCAGCCACAGCCCTTGCAGGCTTCAGAGTGGGCCTCTCTGTGGGTCAGTCACTTTGTCATGGGGCTTTCCCAGCCAGCATAGTCCATCTTATTCACTCAGCAGTCCCAACATCCAGGCCAGCAGAGCCTGGTCATCCCCCCTTCCCAGAAACTGAAGTGGGAAACCAGGGGGCAAATGGGCTGCTCTGGCAGAGGGGGACTTTACTGGAGTAGGGGAAAGTGGGCTCTTTCCCCTTGGCTGCCCAGCAACTGACCTGGGCACTGCCCATGCCTTAATCACTTTAGCACCTTGTTCAAGGGGTCATCAGATGCCCAGCCAGACCCCAGCCACCCCCCCCCCCCCAGCCCCTTCCTTACCAGGGCCTGCAATCTGCACGAGGTTAACCTCAGGCTTCTTCCTGGTCGTCTCTGATTCACTTTCCTGTCTCTGGCCAGATAATAGTTTGGGGTTTGGCCGGGCCCTTCTGCTGGCATACTTGAAGACAGAGTTCCTGACCCTGCCTCCGACGGGCACCCACTGCCTCCCAGGGCTACTTTCCCCTGGGTCTCCTACCTGCCTCCTGCCTCAGCTCAGAAATCCCTGAGCTACCAGACATCTGAAGCCTCACCCAGTCAGGAAACACCCAGCTCTGCCACCTTCAGCTGAGATGAATCAGGTGGTGGCAGTCTCCCCGCTCTGCTCCCTGGTGCCTGCCCAGAAGGGAGTTGTGTCTAGCCTGGGCCCCTGGGACCGCTTGGCAAGGGCAGCAGCAGAGCCTGCTTCATTTGGGGGCAGCCCTTTGGAGTCCACATGGTCCTTTCCGGTGTGTCCCCTCAGACCAGGTAGACCTGGCTTGTATCCTGAAACCAGTTCTAAGGATGAGGAGAAACCTGAGGTTCGGGGAGGATACATACTTGCTGAAGTCCGCACCGCTGGGCAGTAAGAGATCCAAGCCAACTACCTACGTTCTCTTGCTCTGAATCCAAAGTAACTATTGTTCTGTAGATACGACACTCCTCAAGCAGCCATTTGCAACCTGGGGAACCCAGGAAAGGCCTGCTGAGATTCTCTGGCCTTTCTCTCTGGATGCCTCCTGGGGCTTCTGGAAAGGCAGGTGAGGGGCAGGGGTGTTTTTTCTTGTTTGGTTGGTTTTTTCATCAATCCTTGAAGTATCCATTCCATCCATAGCCCAGTGATTAATTAGGGTTCTAACCTAACCTCATCTCCATCAGAAGCCAGGGAGAACCTTCCGCTGAATGTCCCTCTTCTGCTTGGCTAATGAATGAGTATAGTTATTCAATATACATCCTATGGGTTAATACCGAGTAATACCTAGAAAAGGACACCCACAAACTCTGGTCAAAATTTGCATTGTTATGCCTTCGTTTGCTCATTCAGTATTAACCTTTTGACACGCATTTATTGAACACTTACTGTATGTCGGGTACTCTTAGGCACTGGGATGCAAGGAGGGTTGCAGAACAGTTCCTGCTACAGTTCATGGCCCAGTGGGACAGACAGACAAATTAACAGGCTCTCAGTCTGTGGGAGCACAGAGGAAGAAGGCAGTAAGCCTGCGTAGGCCTCAGGGACCTGTGTCAGGCTGGGAAGGCTTCTCAGAGGAGGTGGCTTTTAAGGTGGACCTCAAAGGAAAAACTATGAATAAGTTTCTTCAAAAATCTTTTCTGAGGGGCTTTTCATGAAAGATGGGAAATGTTCAAGGGAAATGATGAGGAAATAGGATGGTAGTGGGGGGGTTAAGGGTACAAAGAGGGATGACAGAGGTACCAGGGACTTAATCCCTGGCCAACTTTGTTTAGGGCCAGTCCTGGCCCTATAACCTTGGTCCCCTAAGTGCAAGGACCCAAACTTTTTAGTCAGCATGGTCCAATAAGATTTCTGCGATGGTGCGAATGTTGTTTCTGTGCCTTCCAACATGGTAGCCACATGTGTGGCTAGTGAGCCTTTGAAATGTTGCTAGCGTGACTGAAGAACTGGATGTTTACTTTTATTTCGTTTTAATTCATTTAGACTTAAATAGTCACCACGTCAGACAACACATCTCTACTGCTTCTCGCCCTAGATCACATTTGAATCACTTAAGGTGTCTTTTAAAATTTCTAATGCCTGGTGCCTGAGCCTTCCCCCTGAGATTCTCATTTTGTTGATCTAAGGTGGGGCTTGGGTATCCGTATTTTTTCAAATAACTTAAGTGATTCTCAGGTAAGCCAGTGTTGAGAACCACTGATCTGAAACTTTGTCCACCACACTCTCACGGGTGGGGAGGCCCTTGTTTCACTGGGCTACTTAGGGCAGGTATTTGGGCTGTGCTGGGCCTTCGGTCTCCCTGGCCTTCCCAAATGAATACTCATCTGCCTCTCCAGGCCACAATGCCAAGTGGGAGGATCAGGGCTGAAGACCTGCTGACTCTCCCCCGTCAGCCTCACCCAGTCCCCAGCAGAGGCAGCACTGATCCACCTGAGCCCTGCTCCCATGCAGCCACCTGCTCCCAGACAGCAGGGGACAGCAGGGGACCGCTGGGGACCGCAGGAGTCCATGTCAAGGAGCCTGGTCCTTGCCGGCCTGGGGCCCTTGGACAGAGCCCAACCAGCCATTTTCCCAGGCTGGGTGAGGCTGGGCTGGAGCAGGGGCCACTGGCCAGGCCTGAGGTTTGGCTGGCTTCCGTCTACTTCCCCATTAAACAGATATGCCAATGAATGTGTTTGGGACAGCAATGATGCAGGTTTTGGTAACCAGCCTGGAGAGAACCTTCCTTCCCCATGTGTCCTGGAAAAAGCTGAGCTGGGGCTCCTCCAGCAGCTGCTGCCCGCCCACCCCCATTTTTGCCCCCCACGCCCCAAAAGCACTTTTCCCATGACTCACACGTGGCAGCCTGTGCACTTCTTTTATTATTAAATATATAAGCAGCTTCCTATTTTTTAAATAGATATTTAAATGACTTTATATAAAATAATTCACCACTTCCAAGTATAAAAACAAAATCTCACAGTGTGTGAGCCAACGTTGCCTCTCAGCTCCCTCAACAAAGGGATTCCTGTGCAGGTAGCCAGGGGAGCCTCCCAGAGGTCTGGGGGCGCTCCCACATCTGTGTCACCAAGCGCCCACAAAGAGCTTCTGCAATGGGTTGGGTTTGCTTTCTTGACTTTTAAAATACTCTATGTTTGGGGTGGGGGAGGAATGCCTTCTTTCTGTGGGGTATTTTTTTTCCCTCTTTCACTTTTAAATACATATTTTCTAGCATCAAATATAGAGTCTGTGACTAGAAGGAGCCCCACAGGACAAGTTCCCCGCTGCCTTTCCTTCAGCTGAGGGCAGCAGGGCAGGGGCGGGGGGAGGGGCGGGAGACCCCCACTTTTGAGGGCAGGAAGAAAGGTTCATGGCCCAGCCCAGAGGCCAGGAAGGGGGGAATCTCTCGGTGGGGGGCCCAGGGCAGCAGGAGAGGAGGGGCACGGCAGCACAAAGGGACCAAGGCGGGGCGCGATCAAGGGCCCGAAGCCTCCCGTCAGCTCTCAGAGCAGTGGCAACGGGCTGGCCCAGGAAGCTCAGGCCCTCAAGGCAAACTTGCGGGCGAATGCCTGGTCCCTCTCCCACCCTGGCTGGCCTGGTCAGAGAGATAGTGGAGGGGCAAGCGCTGGGGAATCACTGCCTCCCCAGGTGGGGGAAGAGAAAGGACGGGAAGAGGATGGGAGCTGGGTGGGGTGCTGTGATGGGGCCGGGGCCTGGTATGGGGAAGGAGACCAGGCTGCGGGGTCGGGGTGCAGACGCCCTCTCCCAACCACCGCGGCCTATCCATAATTGCGAAGACCCAGTTTCAGTGGGAGCTCGCCCTGCAGCCTCCCTCTGGGTCTGCCTCTACCCTCCCCGCCCTCCCTCCCGCTAGTCACTTCCCTCTTGGGAATGTCAAAGTGCAAGATGCAGAAACCTGCGAACAACACGATGCAGCCTAAAGACCAGCTCTGGCTGGCGGCCCAGCTGCTTCTCCCACCCCATCCGCCCTGGAGAGTCAAAGCCTGGGTCAGCAGAAGGTCAGGGCTTAGGGGCTCCCTCAGTCGACAGGCAAGGCCAGCTTGGGGCCCCGGCGCAGGGCGCTGGCGAGAGGCTGGAGGGGCAGGACGGTGCACAGACGTTCGCTCATGGGGATGGACGGGGCGGGCTGTTCAGCAGGCAGGTTCAGTATTCACAGTGCAATGGCTTCCTTCAGGAGGGGAGCCTCTGCGCAGTCTCCCGGAGAAGCGCTGGCAGAGCTGGAGGGAAGGTGGGGCAGACGCCAGAGCTGGCTCTCCCGCTTGGCATCGGAGCCAAGCCAGACAGGTCCCGAGGGCAGGGCTGGCCTCCCCTCTCCGCCTGGCCACCAGCAGAGGGCACTTGGGCAAGCGGAGAGGGTGTAGGCCCCCTCCGGGCTGTCAGCAGGGACCTAGCAGGCCCCGGAAACCTTCTCTTCCCGGCTTCTGGGCTGCACACCTTTACGAGAAATCCAGCCGGGACGCTGGCCCGCCCTGCCAATCTCATGTTTCTCTCTCCGGAGACAAGTCCCTGCTTGCCGGTGTTGGGATCCCTTGACACCAGGCGGTCCTCTGGGCACAAGGGCTCTTCCATTCCTCAGTGCCCTTCCTGCTCTCCCACATCCTGCGGGCATCCGGGTCCCTGGCCCAGGTGTGGCTTGGAGGGGAGTGGGAGGAGGACACAGCCCCTGAGGCGCAGAGGGTCCTCAGCCGAACTTCCCAGCCTTCCTCCAGTGGATGGGAGCCTCCAGGGCCCATGATAAATATCAGCAGCGTGGGGGTGGGGGGCATCCTCCAGCCCTCTCCTAGTCAGTCCAGAGTCTGAGGGTCGAGGGCAGGGGGACCCCAGCCTCGCTGCTCTGCTCTAGTCCTGGCAGGCAGGAGCCCTTGTGGTAGGCAGGTCACATTCCCAAGAGAACGGCTGGGGAGGGGTGGTGGTGGACGCTCCCATCACGTCTCCTCCTGTGGAGAGACTGTCCTGTGTGCCCAGCTGTAGGGAAGAGAAAGAAGGACCGGTCAGCTGAGTGGGAGTGGACGGAGAGGGTCGCTGAGGACACGGGTGGGGGAGGCATAGCGTTCCTGTGGGCTGGTGGTGGTGCTGCACAAGACTTCCTCCCGTCCTGTCCCTCGCCTTCCCAGCCACCCCAGACACCACAAGGAACCAGGCGGCTTTTCCTGGCAGCGGCCCAAGCCTCTGGCCAGACTGGCCTCACCTCCCACCTCCTCCTGGGGAACTAGGGACCACAGGGGGAGGTAAAGGGGCCTGGGAGAGGCTTAAGCAGGCCCGAGAGGGGGTCGGCCGCTGCTCGAGTGGCGGAGTCTGACAGGGAGGGAAGGGGGCACCTGAGTGTCCTTAGACCCCTCCTCAGGTAAGAACGTCTCACTGGCCTGGGGCCAATGAGCCAAGGGTGATGCCTGTAAACTCTAGCATTTCTTATAATAAGAATTTCTTATTCCCACCCCTACACCATTCATCACAGAGGGTTATCACACATGATACTCTGGACAGCAGGTCATAGGTAATCAAGAGGAAGAACCAGAGTCAGTTCCGGAACAAGGAAACTTCCATCCTGCCACCTGGCGTGCTAACCGCTAAGCAGCCCAGCCTCCTTCCTGGTGGGCCAAGGGACTTGCCTCCCTGCAAGGGAAGCAAGGCCCTGCTCTCTCCAACCCCACCCCCATCCTAGTCCTTTGCCCAGCATCCTCGGAACGCTTTGTTCCCAGAGCAGAAATCCCCTGGACTCCATCCAACAGTTTGACTTTGGATCCTGTGTGGAGCTACCCTCCCTGACCATCCATAGGCCCTACTGGTAAAGTCCATGATGGACGAGGAGGGCAGATGGGACCACAGCTTCTGGCTCCCAGCCCATTCCCATACTCTGGAGAGGGAAGAAGGGAGAACCATAAACTGGACATGAGCCATGCTGGGTACAGCTGGGCCACAGGCCCTGCTGGGGCTAGGAGGGAAGGACCAAGTGGGTGAGTTCCACCGCCCCTATGTCCTCATTCCTTGTAGTGGAGGGCTGGGATCTGTGTTTTCTTTCTGAGAGTCCCTCCATCAGTCTCTCTGCCTCTGTGTTTTTCCTCTCTCTTGTCAGAGTGGTAGATAGTCTAGGGGCTGGCCCTGAATCTCCTGAGGCTCCTGGGGCCTGGGCTGGACCTACTGATCCAAGCAGGGTCCGGCTGTGACCCCTGCCCTGGGTTCCCTCTCTAAGTGAAATCTTGAGGGGAGGAAGAGGAAAGGTTGTCAGGACCTGAGAACAGGCAGGCAGGGAAAGCAGAGGAGGACCGGAGAGGAGATGGGGCAGAGGGCCAAGACCAAGAGGGGAAGGTCGGCAACCAGTTAGAGGGTGGTGCAGCCCTGAGCCACGAAGGACCCAGGGACCTCGGTCCCTCCTCTGCTTTACCAGTCCTGAGGGGGTCTGGGTCACCCTCACAGCCCTGCCTGTGTCCCATCTGATCCGCTCACCCATCTTAGCCCATCCCACCAACAATGGGGAACCCAGGGTTCCAGGTATGTTGCTTCATGCTCTTTTCTAAATAGGCTCCCCTGATTCTGAGAGCTTGTTAGGTCCCCTTTCTGTCAAGGAGTGGCCCAGACCTGTCACTGTACACATGGGAAGGTCCTAAGGCGCTCACTTGCTTTTGGCACGGGGTGTGACTGGAAGCTCAAATGGGTTACCCCAGCTAGTCGGCCAGCCAGCCAGTCAGCAAGTCAGGCCATTAGATAACTAGCTAGTCAGTTAGCCAGTCAGCTCACCACCAATCAAACAGCCAGTTAAGCAGTTACCAGTTAGTCGGTTGGTCAGTCAGTCACCTAGCCAGCTGGTCAGCCAGTCAGTCAGAGTCGATTAGTTAGCTGGCTAACGGGGTCACCCAGAAAGCTGGTCAGTTAGAGACAGCTGGCCAGGCTCAGGTGGTCAGTCAACTCTTAAGCCAATCAGGCCACATTTACTGAGTTCTTGGCAAGTATGGAGAAGCCCTCTCTGTATGAGAACATGGAACAGAAAAAAAATGCCCAAAAAAGTGGAAGACACAGTCCCTGCCCTCAAGGGGCTTACAGCCTTCTTAGGGATGTGGAATGTACATATACACATAGAAGAAGGTTTGAAAATGGATAAAAACAACATCCAAATAAGTGCAAATGATATAGTATTAACCAAATACAAAAGGGCTGAGGGGTAGGAACTGAAGAGCAAGCAGGGGGTGGTGGAGTCAATCTGGAAGAACCGGAGGTGGGGGGGGTGCCTGGAATCGGGGGGCCAGGGCTGAGGAACGATAAGGGTTACATCTTTATCAACAACGTGGGTGAGAACAATAGAAGGCACTCCTCAACGTGCAGGGAACACATTTGGGAGGGCTAGGAAGACAGAATGAGGATTTAAAACAATTTCCACTGGCTCAGGTGATGGACAGAAACCAACAAGGTGGTTTTAACAAGGACACCTATAAACTCCTGCACCCAGGTTAAAAAACGAAGTTGTCCACGTATGGGAGAGAAGGCCTGGCTTGACAGAGGTTTATGGGAAATGGAATTCGGGGTTTTAAGAGACCACAAGCTCGACGTATGACAGTATGATACAGCTGTTAAAAAAACAAACAAAGAAACAAAAACCCCACTAATGCAATCTGGATCTGCACAAGTAGAAGAATATGGTCCAGATAAAGGAAGGCAACAGTCCCACTGTACTTTGAGCTGGTAGACAACATCTGGAGCACTGTGTCCAAGGCTGCGTGCCCCATTTTCAGAGGGACACTGACAAATGAGTGTGTCCAAAGGAGGGCAACCAGGATGGTGAGGGGTCTGAAAACCATACCATATAAGGAATGTTTGAGGGACTTGGCCACACTTAGTTTAGAGAATTCTTAAAGGGGATATGGATAACTGACTTGAGACACTGGAGGGCTCTCATGAGAAAAGGAGGGAGGATCATCGTGGAGGGGGCAGGGAAGCTCCCTGGAGGAAGGACCTCCTCACAGCGCTCCTGAGAGATGACAGGGAGCTTGCCTGGGACTGGGAGTACGGGCTCAGCAGCTGGCTGATGCCCTGTCGGGAATGCAAAGAGGGGAGACCCCTATAGAGTGGGACGCTGGCCAAAGGACCTCCAAGAGACTTTCCAAGACTAAGGTTCTATGGATCCATGGATCTAAAACCAGGGACGTAGAAATGATCTTGGCTGGGGAGAAGGGTGCAGACCAATAGAAAGCTGGCAAGAGGTGGGTGTTAGGGCCAGCTGCTGGAGGAGCCTGGGAGCCCAGGTGAGAAAGGTTTGGGCTTGGAGTGGTTGGTGATGCAAATTCCCCAGGAGGGTGAAGACCATGCAAGATTTTGGTTGCTCTGGAATGGAAGGTGGCAGCAAGACTAGAAACCGAATACAGAAATAATAACCCGATGCATGGGTAATAGTGCCTGGCCTCAGACTGAGGGGGGGGTGGGAAACGGGGTGGGGGGAGACCTGAGGATCCCGAAAGGAGACAGTAGGCAGGATCTGGTGATGGATGGAAAAGGGAGTAGGAGGGGAGGAAGTCAAGGTGGTATCACCAAGGTCGGGTGGTTAGAAAAGGGGGTAGCTCATTTTAAAGGGGCGGAGAGAAATCCAAATCAGAGTCTTACCTTAGAAACCCCTCTACACTGGCAGTTCCACCTGTCTGTCCTCATCCCGGGTCAGGGGGCTGCAGGCAGAGCATAGGGCTGGCATAAGACTTCAGCAGAGGCTGAGGAGTGAGGGAACCCCTTAAGTTTCTCCCCCAACCCTCCCATGCATGTGCTCCAGCCCTCTGAGATTCAGAAGACCCAGAACTGCCTAACCCTAGGAAGAAATCAGGAAAAATCCCAGATATCTAGGAAAGAAGAAACGCCCTTTCTCCTCTCCACCTCCCATCCTGTTCTGAGCTCCACTTCCTCAAAGCAAATGAAAGAAAATCTCCCCCAGATCTAGAAGGGAGACAGACGCCAAGGCAGCCATATCCGCGCCCCCCCCCCCCCCGCCATTGCCATCCAGAGCATCCCCACCCCCTGGAAACTCTCACCTGCCCTCTGGTTGCTCCATGGGAGAATCCACTGTCTGAGGCTCTCGATGGCTCTGGGGACAGACAGTAAAGAGCAGGTTCACTGAGGAGCTATGGAACGGTGTGGGGACTGTGGCCTCACCCCCAGGCAGGGCTGGCCAGGGGAGTAGATGAGAGAGTTATCAAAGTCTCCCCCAGCCACCCAGATGTGGGGATGAGCCGCCGGGCCAGGAGAGCATCCTGAGGCCTCCCTGCTGGGGATGCCCCCTCTCCTCTCCCCATGCAGTCCCCATGCAGGCTGATCCCTATGGGCCCAGGCTCCGCAGAACTCCCAGTGAACATCCTGCCCCGACATCCGACACAGCAGCACTCTCCTCGGCCAGCTCCCCTCACCTGTGGGTTCTCTTCCCACTCTCAGCCCAAGAATATTCTCTCCCGCTCCCTTCCCGTTCACCTTATAAGCCTGGGTCTCCCCCCTTTTTGAAGAAACCCTCCCTTTCAACCTCCTATCTTCTGTGTTCAGTTGGGCCCCCGCCTTGGCGTCGAAAGAACCCAGGCAATGCCCAATAATCCTCCGACTTGCTTGACCCGCTCCTGCACCCAGGCTGTGCCCCTGGCCCCATGGGCTGCCCTCCTTCTCTCGGGGGCTTTCCTTACCCGCCGTCTCCGCCTGTAGAACAGGAGACCACCGACGGCCAGCAGGACCAGGATGATGCCGGGCACCAGCAGGCGGAAGGTAAACCCGGGGAGCTGAGGGTCAGGGGGTCCCTCCTGCTGCCTCTCATGGCCTGTGTCAGTCAAAGGAACGGAGTTAAAAGGGGCCGGGGCCCCGGCCGCCCCCTCACTTGCTCGTCTTCCTTCCAGCTCTGTGGGGCTCCTTCGATCCCTGGTGCTCCTTCTGCCCTCCAACTCCCCGAGGGGCAGCACATAGCCCCACGAGTGGCTTCTGGGAAGCCTTGGCTGTGCAGAGAGGGCCGAGGGACTGCTGAGGCCTCGCGGGGGCCGCGGCGGGGTCCTGGCAGAGCTCAGCTCCTGGTGGTCTCTGGGCGGGGCAGATGGACGGTCTGTCTTCTCAAGGGTGTGACTCTGGGCCTGGCCAGCGGGTCGCGCAGGGCCCACCGTGGGCAGGGGTGCACCAGGCATGTCGTCCGGCTGCTGGCCGCTGGCTGAGTAGGGCAGTGGAGAAGGTGCTGACAGGCGGTCACTGGGCCTGGCGGTCGTCTCGGCCTGGACTCTGCCTCCTCCCAGCTCTGCCCCTTGGGGTATGGGACCCTCGCTAGCCTCTCCGGAGGCCTCTTCTAGGGTCCAGTTGGTGCCCAATGCAGAGTCAAGAGCGTCCTCCATCCCAGGGACGGGGTCCCCGACAGAGGGCCGGGGCTGACGTGCATCTCCGCCGGGGCCGGCCTCCACACCCGGGGGCTCCAGAGATTCAAAGCTCGGGCAGGTGCTCCTGGGTGGTCGCTGCTTGGCACTTCCCGGGCCCAGGTCCACGGGGCGGGGGGGATGCTCACTGGGCAAGAGGGAGCTGCCCTCTGTCCCCTCAGAGTCAGCCCAGGTCAAGCCGGCCATAGGGGCCATGGAGGGGGCAGGGGGCTGCTGAGGGGAGACAGAGGCCAGGTCACTGCTAGGGGTGGCTTTGGGGTACAGGCAGTTGCAATCAGGCTTGGTCACCACATCTGAAAGAACCACAGAGAGAGGGAGAGAGAAAGACGGGGAGGAGATAGAGTCACCAGCCTCCGGCACAGCTTTCCCGGGGGGGGGGGGCGGGTAGGGGAGGGCTGGAGAGAGGGATATGGGTCCGGGGGTCCCTCACCCCCTAATTCAGTGCTGGGGCTGAGGAGAGGACAGGATCAGAGCCAGGCAGAGAGCAAAGAGTGGGGTTTAGAGGCACAGGCCGGGGGCCGGGGGCAGGGAAGACCAGGGGACAGCCTTTCCTGGAGTTCCAGCTGGCGAGGTGCCAAGCCGGGGTTGAGCAGCAGCTAGCCCGGAGGTGGAGTGGTGGCCTCCCGGACTAACACAAGTCACCCTCAAGTCCCATAGACAGTGTCGGTTGGAAAGCAGCGAGGTGGTTTCATGCATAGCCAGGGGGCCACACAGCCACAACCACGGGTGGGGACAAGCTGGGGCTGGAACGTGGCCAAAACTTGAGGCCTTGGGACTGAAGCAACGAGACTGGACTGGGCCATTGGCAGCTCGCAGGGCCTCAGCCCCTGCCTCGGGGAGCAAGGTTGAGTGTAGGAGGGCACACGTGGAATGGGACTCAGAGACGAGGACACGCAGGGCACGCATGTGTGCGGCTGGGCCTGCACGGGAAGCTTTTGCACGATGCTCAGACTTCAAATCCAGCCTTTTCCCTTGAGGGGACACTTAAGGCATCCTGGGGACTTCTGGAGCCAGGGTATCCTGGTGGTTCACAGCAGGGCTCCTGGCGCAAGGGCCCTGACTGCCAGATGGAGCCTCGCTCTCTCCGTGGAAGCCCCTGTACGTTCAGCCAGCCTGCAGAGCCGGTGGGGAAAGCCTCCATGCCTACAGGGCTCTCCGAGAGGGGCCCCTTTCCCCTTCCCTAATCTCACAGCCACCAGCATGATCCTTCTTGATGCCTCCACATGCAGACATATTTGGTGTGCATGCACACACATGTCAGAAAAGACATGTGCCCAGGACCGCCCAGAGGTACATGAAGCCACATATGTACACGAGAAAAGCACATCTGCACACACAGGAGCACGAGTAGCAGCCAGGCTGCCTCCCCAGGGTCCTTCCGGCCTCCCTCTGGCCCCACGTCTCACCTCCCAATCCCTGCTCTCTTCCCTACACCCTCCCCTTGTCCTGCACTCGCTGGCCCTTTCGGTGCTTACCTTGGCTGGAGCACTTAGCAAAGCTGTTGTTGCAGTTCTTGCTGAAAACGTTCCAGTCCTTTTTCAGGAGATTCTTTGTTTCATTAAAGACATTCTTGATCTTTTCCAGCAACTGCAGGGGTGTCTCATAGAAAGTTCGGACACAGGCCTGGAAAGAGAGCAGGGGGGCCCCCCTCGGTGAGGAGGAGCATTGGTCCATGTCTCTAGCTTGTTTGCCAAACTCCCTTGGCCTTTCTCACATCCGTCTTCTTTTTCTCTTTCATTTTCTCCCTCCCCTCGCCCCTGGTCTGTGGTGGAATCAGTCCTGAGATCTTGAGATATGCCATTTATTCGCAGATCTATTTAACACATATCTGTGTGCCAGGCAATTACCTGGGAATCATGCAACGAACACCAAAGACATGGTCGCTGGCCGAGCTGGACACTGAGTCCGGCAAGGCATTGGCCTTAAACACGCTGTTACGAGCGCAGTGAGTCACATGGACAAGTGCAGAATGATCTGAGAATGTATAACAACGGGGAACTAAATGAGGGCTCATGGGGAATTTCCCCATGGAACCAATGGAAAGATGAGCAAGAGTCAACCAGGAAAGGAGGTGGGGGGTTGGAGAGAGCTGTCTGGGTGGTAGGAACAGACTGTGCAAAGGTTCTGAGGCAGGAAAGAGCCTGAAATGTCAAAAGACTGAAAGACAGCTAGAGAGGCTACAGTAGTGCCATCTAGGAAGAAGGTGACAAGAGAGGCAACTGAGAGAGGTCAGCAAGGGCCAGGTCCTGCAGGCCCTTGTTGGCCATGTCGAAAACTGTTAACTTGATCCACAGAGCAAAGACAAAACATCTGAGCGGTTGTTAGGGAGGTGGGTGGTGGCACGATAAGACTCAAGTCTTAGAAGGATCATCCTGCGGTGGTGGAGAGCAGGCCACAGGGCCTTGGGTCCTTCTCTGGCATTGGTAGGCCTTGGAAGGGAGCTGAAGCTACCCCCAGGCCTGCCTGTTGAGCTGTGCTTTTCTCTTCTGCTCATAGGACCCAGGCTCCCCACACCCACTGGAGCTCTGAGAAGCTCCACACACTCCTGGCGGCCTACTTGCTGATGACTTCCAAATACCGAGCCTTTCCTGACACTGGGCTGCATAGGGAAGGACTGTAAGCTTTACTAGGCTGTGAGATCCTCGAACCCATCTCTGAATGCCCACGGCCTGTGCAGAGGAGGCCCTGGAGAAATGTTGCCCCGATGGATGAATGAACGAACGTAGGCGTGAGAAGACCTGCGCTCAGCTGCACCACTCACCAGCTAGGTGACACTGGCCCAGTGGACCACCCAGTTTGGGTTCCTTTCCTCTTCTGTAAAGTCAGAACCACCATCCCTTCCAGCTTCCCCACCAGGGCTGTTGTCAGAAAGAGGGATGCTGGTGCTCTCTTGCCTTTCTTCATAAACCTCTGTCTCCTTCGTGCCTCACCTCATACTTCAAAGAGAAGACCGCAACCAGCAGACAGAAGGTCCCACTGCCCACCTCTGACACAGAGGCAGTGCCTTCTCTCCTCAGGGGCTCTGAACCCCTCAGCAGACCGGCTCCTCTAGCCTCGAGGCTCCCTCCCTCCTCGAGTCCACCCTGCTGCTTCCACGCTGGATCTAGGCTGGTGGAAATGCAGATTCCCAGGCCCGCCCACAGATCCAGCGAATCAGACTCTCTTGGGGTGTATCCTGGGAATCTGGAATTTAAACAAGCTCCCCAAGGGATACGTGTGAACCTGAACAGTGGAACACCTCAGCTTTAATACCCCTCGGTAAAAATGGTTCCTCCTGCAATCCCACACTCCCTCTGGCGACCTTGCCCTTTTTCTGGGCCCTTGTGGAGCCGAGCTCCACTTCTCCGTTCACCCCCATCAGCACGCACCTCGGGCAGCAGCTGCGCGCTGCCAGGCCCATCGGACACTCTTCCACCCTCGTCTTGCTTGACTTCTCAACCCCGGTTGATAAAGGTGACTACTCTTTCCATCTTGAGACACTCTTCTCCATGGGCCCAGCGAAATCAGTCCCCTCGTTTTCCTCCTGCCCCTCAGGCTGCTCCTTCCCAGTGTCCTCATCAGGTCCCTGTGTCTGACTGGCTTCCAAGGCCTGGGGTCCCAGGGCCCTGTCCTACCATGTCCTGCCTTCACACGGGACATCCTTGCTGATTCCTCTTACGTGCGCGTCTCGCCGGCCCAACTCAAGACCTGTGTGTCCAGCTGTCTGCTCTGCATTTCCGCTTGGCTGTTTCACAACATGGGGTTCATGTACCCCAAACTGAGCTCCTGCTCTTCCCCCGAGCCTGCTCTGCCTGCTGATCTTGCCCATTTCGGAAGTTCGGCAGCTCATGGGATCTCCTATGTGCTCCAGACAAAAGCATCCTGGAGACCTCCCTTCCCTCGGCTGCTCACCCCCACGGCCCCACCAAATCCTGTGGGTCCTTCCTCCAAACTGGTCCTGGGAGCAGAGCCACTTGGTCCACTCGCAGCACCCTAGTCCAAGCCTCTAGTGACTCCGACCCCAACTTGTGCCCCATGCTGGTCTCCCAGCCTCCATTCCTGCCCCCTGCAGTCCACTCTCCGCAGGGCTACCAAACCCACCTCACAGTTAAGTCCAACTGGGTCACTCGCTTGTTCACCAGGGCATCCCTCACACTTCAGACAACATCCCACGTCTTTAAGGCCCCCCACGGGCCCCCCTGGGTCCTGCTTCCTCCCCTCTCTCTGTCTCTTCCACGCCTTGGCCCTGGTGACCACCTTTTGGGCTCCTGAATGTGCACACAGCCCACCTCAGGGCTTTGTGTGTAGCCTTCCCTGTTCTGGAATTCTCTGACCAGCCTCACTGCTTCCTAACTCTTACTCCTCTTTGGCCCTCCAATGAATATTCTCTTACTCGGGAGCCTTCTCCTTCCCTTCTTCCCTACCCCCCCTTTTTAAGTGAGAGTGCCCTTTGTCTCTCAGAGCCCCAGGAAGCCCCCCTTCATGGCTCCCTCCCTCACCTCCTTCAGGTCTTCCTTTGCCTGGTCATTGCCACCCTACATTCGCCCATATTTTACTCATATGTTTTGTTAACTGTCTCACCCCCTCCCCCAAAACGTAAGAGCCTTGCCTGTGAAGGTTTTTGTCTGGTTGGATCCCAGCTGTTTCCTGGCGTCCAGACCAGTACCTGGCTCCCAATAGGCACTCAGGAACTACTTGTTGAATGAACGAATAGTCCTCACGCTCCGTAACGCTATTTATTTGTGTCATTCTTTGTTTAATGGTGGCCAGCCTCCCCTTACCAGAAGCCCCGCAAAGGTGGGAACCATGCGCTTCTTGCTCACGATGACATCGTCAAGGCCTAGCACTGTCCCCTGCCTGGCAAGTCCTTAGCAGAGGTGCGTGGGGTGAATCCATGAACGAGAGCGTGAGTGCACAATGACAATGACACGGGGAGGGGGGGCACGGGAACACACCTCTGTGCATATGGGCAGGCATGGGACCACCAAAGACACCCTCTGCTCTCACTCTGTGCTCCCAGCTCCACAACACTCCTACCTTGTCCTGCTCTTCATAGTCCTTGGTGAAACAGCTCTTAAGCCTCAGAGACAGTTCCTGGAGCTTCACGATGACATTGGCGTTGGGAGTATTGTCTTTGAAGCGCATGGTGTCCTCCATTATGTCTTGCACCAGGAGAAATGCCTTCTTAAGGTAGCACACGGGATCTTTCTGAAAAATGAGAACCTGGAGTTTATGGTCTGGCTGAGGTGGTCTGGGAAACCAGGCTCTGTGACAGGTGCCCCCATCCCTGGCAGATGGAGGGCTGCAGCCTGCCCTACACCTGCCCCTGAGGGGGTTTGCCCCTGAGGGGAGGGCCGTGCCCCTCCAGCAAGAAGGGGGGCGCTGACCCCAGCTGCTCTTTCATGCTCTCTCTCTGGGATCTGGAACTGCTGGGAATTGGGGTAGAGGAAAAGACATGGGGTTCTGATCAGAGACATCCTCAGATTTCTGGAAGATGAGGCTTTAATTAGAATGGGGGCTCATGGGTAGGGTGGGTTCTGGGGGAATGCTCTCTGTCTCTGTCTCTCTTTTAGCTTGCTTTCGCAAAAAGTCCTTTACCACGTGGCTCCTTCTAATCCTCCAGGCTACAGGGGAACTAAAGACCACCCGAGGGTCCAAAGAATAACCTCAGTGTTTTGTCTCCCTGAGAGATGGCAGTTGCCTCAAAGGAGACTCTGCTTTAGCTATTCCTAGTACCTAGTCCTATCATTTCCTAGTGAAGGAAACTTGCTACGCTTGTTAAGGTGTGAGTGAGTGAGTGAAATACTGAAGCTATTCTTTGGGCCACGAGGTGGTCTCCAGTTCTAACAGACATGTGTATGGGTCAGGTGTGCAGAAGCGCAGAGATGGAAGCAACTTCCGGGCACATCACAGTGATTCTTGTATGAGGCGCAAAGATGAACAGATGTGGAATAAGGGGTGGGGTGGGGGCAGTTGAAAAGGCATCACAGGCACAGGAAGAGCTTGTGCAAAGGCTGGGAGGCCGGAAGGGGCAGACAACCGGGTGGGAGGGTGGTGGTGGTGGTGGGCAGGACTGTGCCGTGTAACCCCAAGCTGACCAGCCTGGGCTTTCTCCTGCAGTGAGGGGGGCCCTGACAGGTTTGGGAGAGAAATGAAGGTAATAGGTTGGAGTTCCGAGAGCTCCCCCTACTGGCGGGATGATGGGTGCAGTAGAAGCAGAGAGGCCTCTTAAGGAGGCTCTTGAAACAGTCCAAGCAACTGACTGGGAGAGACTGGGGCAGAACCCAGAGCTGCTGGGAGGCAGAACCAGCAGCCCTTGGTGGCTGGCTGGGCGTGGGGTAGGAGGAAGAGGGAAAGGGCTGGACTGACTCCCTGGCTGCTTCTCTGCCTGTTGGATGGACTGTCATCCTTCAGCAAAGCATGTGACCCAGAAGTCATACGGGTTTGCCCTAGGCCTTAGAGCCAGCCTGCCTGGGTTCAAATCAGGCCTCCACCACTTAGTAGCTATGCTCCCTTAACCTCCCTGAGGACCATAAGCAAGATTAGCATATCACAGAGCTCTACCATCGGAAATTCGAAAGTGCCTGGCGCATAGTAAGACCTTGATAGGTGCTGGGGCCAGGAGAAGGGAGCAGCAGGGGACTCGAGGACCCTGCTCAGCCCTGGACCCTGGCACCCCAGGACTGAGCACCAGTGATCCTCCCACCCTCACCCTGCCCAGTTACTGGATTTCTCCTCCCTTCATGCTCCCACATATACCCACCTTGGGAAGCACATAGAGGGCCGGCACATGGGCCTTGGAAATAACCATAACTCACCAACTGCTCCTGGTCTACAAACTCAAAGGCAATCTGGCAGGAAGTCTCCATCTGACTATCGATCTGTAAGAGAGAGCAGGCCAGTGGCAGCCGGGTGTCTGCAGCTCAGTTGAGCCCACCTGAGAATAAAGACTAGAGTTTCTGGGTGGATCAGGTTTGATCCTCCTCTACCTCCCCACCAACCATACCAGGAAAGACAGAGCCAAGGGAAAGATATGTGCCTCCCACATGCCCAGGGTGGGCTGTAGAAGAACAAGAAGTCTCCTCCTTCCGCCTCCCACTCCATGAAATCTGACAAAGAGCCGTTAGTTATAAGGAAGAACTCTCTAAGAGGATACAGGGCATAATCTTCCATGACAAGTAGTGAGCTCCCTATCGTGGCAGGAATTCAAGCATAAGCTAGACAAGCTCTGGGGATTCAGGATCTATAGGGGCTGGGGCTAGATGTCCTTAAAGCCCTCCCTGGCCCCCAGAGCATTCTAAGCCTCGGAGAATGCTGTGGTTCTTGGTCTAGCTGGGATAGCTGCAGCAGCTACATGCAAGAGGAAAAGTGTAGAGGTAAGAGAGGCAGCAGGCCCAGCCTACAGGCCCCAAGCTCAGGGCCCTGGAGCCGGCCTTAGCCAGTGGTGCTCCACCCTGCCTGGCTGGCCAGAGGGATGGTAAATTCTCTTCTGAGCAGGACCGCGGCCATGATGGTAACCTGATTCTGCCTGGCTGAACCACATTTGGAATCGTTGACCTCTCTGGCAGCCCGATTAGAATAAGGCACGGGTTCCTTCATGGCGGCCTTGGTGAGCAGTCCTTCCCAGCCCCAGGGCTCAGGCAAGAGCCAGGAAAGGGAGGGTGGAGGGCTGGGAGTGAGGCAGGAGCCTCCCATCCAGATCTGGCGGTGGCCCTGGTGCCCCAGGAGTTAGAGGCAACATCTGGACACAGCAGGCAGGCTGGGCTGGCTCCCTGGAGGCAGCATCTCACTGAGGGAGGGCAGGCCTCACCAGCCTCCTCCGAGTCCACGGTTGACCTTCTAAGCAACCATTAACCCAGGCAACCTGCTGGAAGCCCTCCCTGTCCACTGGCTGCGGCGGAGTCACAGAGGGCTTCGGGGTCGGGTGTGGGTCAGAGGTCCTGAGCCCGAGAAGGTCAAGGAGCAGAGCATCAGTGGAGCCATGAATCATGGCCTGCACAGCCGTATTTCTCTGCCTGCAGCCCTTGCCTTTGACCCTGTTCCCTGGCTCCTGCCTCAGTTTCCCCGGTAGGGAGAAGGTAGATAGGCATGGCCGCACACTCACCAGCTGCTGGAGGAACTGCAGGTGTCCGTTCCCGATCATGTGGCTACAGTGTTCTGACACTTCCCCGGTAATACTCCCACTCGCCAGGAGCCAGACCAGCAGTAGCAGGGGCTGCAGCCATGTCTGTGACAGAGAGGGCGTCATTACTGCCAGCTCTCCGTCTCCCTAGGAAGCCCCACGCCCTGCCAGGAGGGGAGAAACAACAACCTCATACCTACAGTGCTCCAGGCCCTGCCCCTTGCCGTGGGATGCAGCGTTCCCCAAACCCAGCTTTCTCAGGATTTCCTAACTGGCATGCACAGTCTTCCTCTCCCTTGATAACTACCCACATGTCATCTCCTCCAAGAAGCCTTCCCAGATTAACGAGGCCAAGCCTGACTACGCTCTGAACTTTTCATGAGGACCTGGGAAGTGTTCCTACCAGTCTCAATTTCACTTACACAGGAAACTCCTTGAATGCAGGACTTGCATCTGCTCATTGTTGTGTCCCTGTAACATCAAACACGAGCCAGACATCTTGTGCGCTGCCCGCTCCTCTCAAGTTTATGTTCATGCACCCACTTCCAGACTCCAAGCCAGAGATATTTTCCCTGGGCCCAGCCCTTCCTCCCACCTGATTCCACACAGGTCTGGCTCTGCTACTGGAAAAACCAAGCTCCCAAACTCAGTTTCACTGGGAACTTATCCCATGCTGGAGATCTTTTGGAGCTCTGGGTGTGTGTGTCAAAAGGAGCCCAATGGCTTAATCAGAGGCGGGAGTGTCAGCTCTAGGCCATCCCAGCCTATCGGAGCCCCATCAGGCTCTGCATCCAGCCAGCCAGGTCTTATCATGACCGGGAAGTTTTCTGAGATCTCTCCCTCCTTCAGCTCCCACCTGGCCTGGGAGCTGTTCATCCTCAGAGCGATGGGACTGGCCCCTGACACCCCATCATTCCCCTTCCTTCCTCTCCCCCTCCTCTTCACCAAGGTCCCCTCAACCCTCTCCCTGGCCCAGGTCTCCCCTTCTCCAGCCAGGGGCAGAGGGACTCTTGAGCCTTCTTTCCTCCAGCTCAAGGTTGCCTCCTGGCAGCTGATGTCCCCAGATTCAGGGAATGCTGTCAGGGTGGGGTGAGAGCTGGCCCTTTCCTGGGCTCTGGGCTCTGCCTCAGTAATCCAGATGATGAGACAAATACTGCAAATAAACAGCACATTGGAAAAACAAGGAGGCTATGAAACAGCCTACAGCCCACGACAACATGCTGATTTATGTATAACTACAAGCCCCAATGTTTGTTAGCTCCTACCAGGGAGGAGAGTCCCTGGCTGTACTACCAGGGAGGGCACAAGGAGAAGAGGCCTCGGTGAGGCCTTGAGAAATGGGGAGAAGTTGATGGCAGAGAGAGGGAAGGGGAGGCCTGGAGGGAGGAGGCACGGGGTGGCCCAATGCCATTCAGTAAGGAGATCTGGTGAGGGTCCTGGCCTGATCCGGGGGAGGGAGAGTGGAAAAGAGGGAGGACACTCATGGGGGGACTTCGGACTCTGCTGGGCAGTTGAAGAGGTAGCCCTGGGTAGGAACGGCTGCCCAGGTCCTCCCGAACCTTCAGTTTCAGGACCCACTGGAAACGGGGCCAGGCAGAAGGTGTGTCTCTGTCCCAGGCCGGCTGCCCCTGAGGCTCTGAGCCCCCAGTTTTGGACAGCATGGAGGAAAGAGCCCTGCAAAAAGGGATACTCAAGAAGACAACCTTGCCACAGCTCTTCAGGATATTGATGTCTGAGGACAGCTTCACCCCAAGGGCTGCCTGGCTTTCAGAGCTATTTCAGGCACTGGTGTGGAGAAAGTGTGGCCACCACGTGGGAAGCTGACTTTGAAGGTGGATCCCCACCCCTGCCCCTGGGGTCCCAGTTTTGCCTCAGAGAAGGAACTGGGTGGGCACCTAAGGGTTAACACTCTGGTTCAGCTCACATGTGGCTGGGCTGGCTCTTCTTCCCCTCCATTCTTCCTCCCACCCGCCTGGCCTCAGACTCTGGGACAGCCACGAAGGCACCTCTGCGGCAGTCCCACAGACATCCCTCAGTCCCACCGTCCAGCCTCACCTGTCCCTTCCTCCTCATCAACAAGGGCCCTGGAGCGGCCTCGGTGGGACCAGTGGGACCCGACCTCCCGCTGCTCCTGTCTAAACCAGCCCCCTGCTCTCTCCACCTTTGCTGTCCTCACGGTCTCCCTCCAACCCTTATCTTTGTCTTGTTGCCTATCAGCTCCCCCTCCACCATTTCCCCTCCCAGCCCCGCCTCCTCTCTCTCAGTTGGGCTCTCCCTCCCCTGTGGATCCATCTGCTCTTCCCCTTCCTTCTCAACCCCACCTGCAATCCCCTTCATGCCCCTCCAAATATCTGTCTGCTTCTCTCCCAGCCAGGTTTCTCCTCCCATTCTCCTCTAGGGCTCCTCGGAAGTTAACCTACTGGGAGACCACCCTACTATTCATTGACAGTGCCGCCCTGCGCTTTCTAGGAGCTGCCCCAGCGAGTGCTGGCTGTTGGGTCCAGACCCCACCCCCTCCAACCACCCCCTGTCCATGCAGGCCTGAGCAGCCCCTGGCGCACCTAGGGTTCTGCACCACCAAACCCTCCTTCCATCTCCCTCTGCCGCTGCTAAGCCCAGGATCTCCCCAGCTGACTGAACCAGATTTTGCAATAAAAAGATTCAGAACTAGTCCCAGGCAGCTCTGGAGTCCCGTCTCCTGCAAAACAGACTCGATCCAGCCACCCAAGCCCCCAGTAGCTCGGGCTGGCCGCTGGAACAAGTAGAGGCTTGCCTGACTCCTTCCTTCTGCCAGCAGGTTCCTGGGCACAGGCCCTGGCATTCTGTAAGCTGGATGACCCCTGAACTTCCCCCACCCAGAAGCGTCCACTCCCCAGGAGGGCCTGGAAGCACGTGTGTGGCCCACGGGGAAGGCGCCACACTCAGCGCACAGCCACTGCGCCTGTCTCTTGGCGGAGTCGAGGCAGAGGAGAGGGGCAGGGGCTCACACGGAGCTGGTACAGAGCCTCTGCCCGGGGCTGCGAACCCCTCTCTCCCGCCAGCGGGTGGCTCAGTGTGCGCTTCCGCGCAATGGGGGTGAGCAGCCTCCCCTTTCCAGGGAAGTGCCGCAGCCCCGGGAGCAGCTGCAGGGCGCCACCGGGCTCAGCCGGGGCGCGCCCGGGACCTCGGGCAGCCGGCGTGCAAAGATGGGCAGGACACCGGAGCCCGCGGTCTCCGCGGGGGAGCGTCGCCGGCCGGCGCGCCCGGGCAGTCGGTTCCGAGGAGCCGCGCCGCGGCGCCTGCTCCCGCCGCAGCCCCGCCGGCCCCCCGCCGCCCCGCGGCCGCCGCTTACCGTGGGAGGGCAGCGCCCGGCGGCGCCCCGCGAGGTCATACGGGCAGCTGGGTCCCGGCCGGGCGCGTCGGCCGCCCTCGCTCGCTCGCTCGCTGGCCGCCGCAGAGCCCGCGCCCCGGCCGAGGGCCGCGCTGCCGTCCCGGGGGTGCGGAGAGCGGGCGGCGGCGCCGAGAGCAAGCACCCAGGCAACTTTCACTTTCCACCAGTCGGGCTCCACTAGCCAGCTCCTCGGCACAGCCTTTTAAGCGGACTTGTGGGGCATGTGGTTTATGGGAAATCACCTTGGACAGGCGCCAAACACACAGACGCACATACACATACACACACACACACTCACACACACACACGCACCCGCGCGCGCGCGCACTGCCACAGAACCCAGACACAGACACACTCCAGAGCCCCACTGATCCGCCTCCCCTCCCCCGCCCCGGGGCTGGTCTTCCCCGTAGTCCTCCCGCGCGCCCTGTTTTCTGTGCTCAGCTCCGGAGCCCTCAGCGGAGCAACGCGGGCTCCACCGCCTCCCGCCCTTCCGCGCGTCCGCTTCGCACCGAGCCTTTCCTTTTCTTTCCTTCCGCGCTCTCCAGGCAGATCCGGTGCTCTCGCTCGCTCTCTCTCTCTTTCTAATATTCCTCTCGAGGGACTTTCCCTCCAGGCCTGAAAATCCCCAAATCTGAGCAGGAAATGGGCTGAGAGCAGGGGCAAACACTGGAGCCGGGGGCCTCCCCGGGCGCCGCGCGCTGCAGCACCTGGTGGCGCTGGAGTCAGCGGTTTGCAGCAGCCCCCTTCTTCCCAGGCGGCCCGCCCAGCCTCGGCTCTCTCATTCTGGGGCAGGGTAGAGGCGGGGAGGCCAGCTACCTGGCCCGGAGCGGAGGGACCGTGTCCCGTGGCACAGAGCCGGGACGCTCTGCTCTGTGCCGGGAGACACTCTGGGCACTTGAACTGCGGGTGATGTAAATGCTGGCTGATACCCGAGCGCTCCTTCCTGACCTCTCAAATCTAGGGTGATTGGCACCTGGGCCCTAGATTTCCGTTGATGCTTTTGGAAATGCATTTCCAGAGATGCTGAATCACACTTTGTCTCTCCATGAGAGCGAATCTAAATGAAGCCTAATAGGATGAGCCTATCAATTACAATGCCAGCCTCAGGCTTTCTTTCTTTTTTGAATTCATTATGATTCAATGTTTCAGTCCCTCTAGGAGGCCACCCACCCTCACCCCCTGGGAAATACGGGATATGTGGCCTGGTCCCAAAGGGGCATCTTTTGTCGCTTGCTCCAACCCCAAGCAATAATTTTACATCCTCATGCCCTTGCTCACACTGGTCCTTCTGCTTGGAATGTTCCTCTCCCCCTTTGTCTTTATGGCAAACTCCTCATCCTTCAAACCTGAAATAATACCACATCCTCTGCCAGCAAAGCCTTCTTTGACTCCCCAGGCAGACCAATGGTTCCTATTTCTGTATTCCCACCGGACTTGGCTCTTTCCTTCATGGTGGCCCTGATAAGTTGTTATTCATTCATTCTCCACCTTATTCTGAGAAGTATCTACGGGGGTACTGATCGTTTTATTGGGCCCCCACTCTCACTGAGGCTTCCTTCAGCCTGGTCCTTTGCTCACTTACCTCAGAACAACAGTGCCTAACACATCATAGGTACCCAGTTTACTGTGATTGAGTCAAATGAGGCCATTAGAGAACAATGCATTCATTCGACAGATACGTGCGCTCCTGTGTGCTGCGCCCCCCCCCCCCGGGGGGATATGATGATGGACACGCCCACATGTCCCTGCTTTCATGGGCTTGGGAGCAGTCAGAGCTAAGGAGTATGGGCCTGCGATGGGTCCTCAGAGCCTTGAGGAAGGAAAGTAAGAGACAGAGCCCAGTCAGAGGAAGGAGGTTAAGGATTTACTTCCCCTAGGCGTGCTTTGTCAAGTGTCCCTGTACAAAGAAAAACCCCCATACAACAGAATAGTGCTTAGGACTGATAAGGGGTTAGAGGAAGTAATGTGAAGAGATAAACCTCTTGGCTTGTTGAAAGGAAGTCAAATTTTACCTGCTCCCTCCTTTACCACCCAACCCTGCCTCGGGCTCTCTGGAAGGCAGCTGTCCTCCCCAGGGACACGAAGCTTGGGTCTCTGTTCTCCCTCAACTGAAATCCAGGTTTGAACCCTGACTCTGCCACTTAGACATTAATTTCCTTTTCCTACCAAAGTGGTGAGGATTGAATGGACGGCGTGCGCAAGTGTTTCCGTGGGGCCTGAAGGGAGTGAGTCCTGTTATTGTAGTTGCTCTTGTTATTATCATCGTCTGTCCACTCCCAGGGGCCGTAAGCAATGACACAGCAGTGGCACCCTGGACTTGGGAGTCCCAGTGCCAGGCTTCAGTCCCAGCTCTGCCACTGGCTTGGGTGTAACTTTAGACAAAGCCCTGAATTCGTCTGAGCCCTTCTTTCCTCGTTTGTGCAATGACCATGGCAAGCCCTTTCCCCAAGGAATGGTTGTGAGGTCAAATGGGCGACATATGGAGGTCTCTAGGGCAGCCGACAGCACAGAACAAGTGCGTAGTTATGAAAGAACATTTTGGAATCTTGGGCTGTGGGATGCTGGGAAGCTGTCTGCACAGAGCTGCAGAGGGCCAGGCAGGGCCCTGGATCCCCAGGATGCCACAGCAGGACTCCCAGCTGTCTCATGTCCTGAAAAGGAGGGGCTGTGAATCTGCTTGACTCCAGATGTGCTTTACCATCTGACACGGGGAAATCGAGTCTGGAAGAGCTTATGGTGTGCCTGATGGGCTCCCCTGGGCTGCATCTCTCTGTGCTCTTTCCTGCACTGGGCCAATACTCTTGCCGTCTGCCTGGGAGACCTTGGGCAGGCAGGGCGTCGTTGGATCTCAGGCCTAATCCAGCAGGATGTTTCCATGTGCACACAGCTACTTAGCTGTTCACACCAGTGTAGGCCTGCCTGTGCCCAGCCACGGGCAGGGAGTGTTGGAACCACAGAACTAGAAGCATGTCCATCCCATATTGCCCTAAATGAGCAAATGAAGGCCCAGCCAGGCAAAGGCACCTCCTCCAGAGTAATGCATGAATCGGTGCAGTCCAGAGTGGGGGCTTCAGGAGTGAGGCCTGGAGGGAACCAGCTCTGGGTCCCCTGTGCTCTCCCTGGTCAGATTTGCTGCCGTCCTCCACACTGACTTCTGGGGGAGTCATGTCCGGAGCTGGGTCACTGGGGAGGCATAGAGGAATTTGGAACAATCCAAGATTTCGGTCTCGATGATTTCCTAATGTAGCATCATCAAGAGGGCAGCACTCAGCTGACCCTGAAGGAGGGCAGAAGGGAGTACGAGAGGGACCCAGCTTTCCAGAGGGATGAACCAAGGGTGGGAGGAGAGAGGCTGAAAAGAGAAATGGAGGTGGATGGCAGGAAGTGGGAGGAAAGCCTCATTTGCTGGGCGTTGACATGTCATTTCCTTGAAATTACTTGACAGGCAACATCCCCTTGAGATCCTTTCCAGGGAGTTGACTTCTATCACAAAGGGCTCCCTTGCTGGTTCTTTCTTCTGTCCCATTCTTCTCCCTCCCCTCCTCCTTCCTCCTTCCTTCCTTCTTTCTTCCCCCCACCTTCTTTCTCTTCTTCTCTCTTTCTCCTTCTCTTCTCTCCTTCCCTCCTCCTCTCTCTCCTTCTCTCTTTCTTCTATCAAAGTGGCCCCATGACTCTTCAGGACAGGGGTGGGGTGGGGGGTGGATAGCAGCAGCCTTGGAAGCTGGGGCCACAGAGGGAACACTGCTTTCCTGCCTGCCCTGCCCCTCACAAGGAGCAATGGGCCCTCTCAGGTTGCTCTCATGAACTCCTCAGAGCTGATCTGTGGAACCTAGAAATAAAGCAATTACCCACAGGGAGTCTGGCTTCCCAAGTGCCACTCCCTACCCCCCCTAGAGTCACAACCCCTCAGCAGAGGAAACGTCCAGAATGAAATTTTGTTCCAATCTTCATTGGAAAAAGAGAATCACAAGGAGGATGAGGTGTCTGCTGGTGTCCAAACAGCACACAGGCCCACTTCCTATCTTTGGTCCTGTGTGACTTCAGAGCAAATGAGGCAGAGAATTACCTGGAAACAGGAAGTAAAAACCTACGCTCTCCGCTCTCCGTATTCATCTGTTAATGCAATAAGCATGTTCGCTGTTGAGTGCTTGTTGCATGCTGGGTCTTGTGCTCATCCAGGCCAGCTGAATTACATGCCCCCTCCTCCTGGACCGCCAGGGACAGTCCAACATGGGGCAGGGCGAGTAATGATGGGGAAAGGTCCCAGGTGCCCCAAGGGCCCGAGTGGCTTGGCTTCTGGAAGTCACTGCAGGGAGCCAGAAACCTGGAGAGTGAAGAGCCTGAGGGTCGGAAGAGTTCAGGTCCCAGATACCACTGGCTACAGACCCCTTTCTTTGAATCCACATGATTTAAGGGGGTTGCTCGCCTGGGTTCTCTGTCTTGGTTTGCCTGAGGCGGACTCGGAAATCCCAGAGGAGCCTTCCTCCCTGGGGGGCCGGGCTGGGCGGGATGGGACCGCCCTGAAGCAGGGGCGTGCGAGCGGAGGGAAGGCTTTTCCAGGGTTGCCCTGTGTGAGGGAAGGAGAGGCACGAGTGATTCTCACTCCAGCCTGCAACACTCTTCTCTGCGGCTGCCCCAAACCCCAGGCCAGAGGCCCGGCCCAGCCGTAGGCCCTCCAGCGGGGTGGCAAGGCTCCCTGTTGGCAGGTGCTGTGCACTTTTCCCCAGGGAGGAGGAAGACTCAGAGTAGCCATCACCGGGGGAGCGGTGGAGGGTGGCGAGCAGGAGATTAGTCCTGCAGCCATACCGCTTGGCTTGAAACACGGCTCTGCCTCCTGCTAGCTCCATGGCCCTGTGTAGGCTACTTAACCTTTCTCAGCCTCAGTTTCCTCATCTGCAAAATGGGGGATAATAATGGCATCTTCCTCAGAGGCTTCTATAGAGTTGTTATCATGTGTAAAATGTTTAGAACATTGCCTGGAATGCAGGGGGTGCTCTATAGGGGGGAGAATCCTTAGGCCGAGAGGGCACTGCTTCTGTGGACCGGTCGGCGCTACCCCATGCTCAATTAGAAGAGGACTCCAGAGTGGCTGTGTTAATGCCTCCTCAGCAGTGCCCGGGGCCAGGGAACAAGGGGGTGGGGTAGGGAGGCTCGAGGCCAAGGCTGCTTCCACCTCAGGGAGGCCCCTCTCCTGCTGTGCCCACGTTCCTCTGGACCCTGTGGTGGCCAGAGCCCCGCTCGGAGGCCAGGAGGGTGCAGGGCGCGGGCTTAACCCTGGAGCCTAGAGGGATGGATGGGCCTGTGCAGCTGCCGGGTCCGGAGCTCTCTGAGTTGCTGACAGGAGCAGGAATGCAGTGTTCCTTGGGAGCCTCTTCCCTCTCCTAACCACAATTGGCCCAC